CTATGATGCCAATTACAGGCCTCTCTCATCTTTTTAAGTGGGAGAACTTGCACAATTGGTGGCTGACTAAATACTTTTTTGCCCCACTGTATTTCCAGGCTTTGCTTTGGATTCTGAGTGGAGCGCGCCTTTAATCATTGAAGGTAGAAACAGAATTATCAGTCAGTAAAGATTGTCTGTAATACTTGGTTTTAAGTATGTTGCATAGTATTCCAAATGCCACAAAAGTCAAATACACATTGAATCGTAGGTCATTGTACTGATTTAAAAAATTGCCGTCAGAAATAAAAAGAGCCTCCGTAGCCCATATAAACTAGATTTTGCCTTTTATTCTCCTACAGCAAGTAAGACAGTGAAATTAATTGGTTCCTATGAGCAATAAAGACAGTTCTTGCTTTGTAGCTATATATGACCCAATATGCATCTCTAAGTATCTGTAGCAAATGGAAAAAACATGTTAGCTTACAGCTCAGCAGACAAAGGCACACCGCTCCAGCTAGCACAAAGTAAAACTACTACGTGGGAGAAAGTGTATTATCATGCAGCGATCACACTCAGTAACAACTTGGGACTCTTCACACGGAAATCACACATTCAGCCAAAGGCAAGACTGAGCTATCTATCTCACACAAGCTGCGCTTTATTTAATTACATTCATTGTTTACACCTTCACCGCCAACTGCACCCACCCCTACACCCGACATGAGCTAGGGGGCATTCATCTAATTAATCAGGAGTTGTAACATCGCCATTCACCCTCCCCCAGAGAACTATTTTTGTAAGGAAACTGCAATTTTTCTTCAGCAAGAAACAGATCTGATCTCTGTGTTCTAGTTTCTTAAAGCTGAGTTACAGTCATTTTTGTGTTTATTAAAAGTCAGCAGCTACAAAAACTGTAGCTGCTGACTTTTAATAAACACATTCACCTGTCCTGGGGTCCAGCGATGTGCTCACCCGCACCGTCCCTTCTCTCCCTCTCCTCGGCATCTCAACTGTGGGCACCAGGCTGAGACAGATTGCGGCTTTACAGCCGGGTGCCCACTGCGAATGCGCGAGTCATGCTGCACCTCTTAATTGGTCTGGCAAGTGACGTGTCCTAGAAGACTGGGGGAGGAAGGAGTCGGGCCGAACTTCCTTCTCACTTCGCCATGGCGAACTGAGCCAGAAGTGGGAATGGGTACCTGTCGAAACCAGGTATCCCCCCCTCCCCAAAAGTGCCAAATATGGCAGTGGGGGGGGGGGGGCTTTCACTTTTGGGTGAAACTCCTCTTTAAGTAAAATCATTCACACATTAAAAAGAGCCTGAGGAGGCATTTATACAAAATCGCATAGACCAGAGTGTCACGTGTTCTCCCCACACGCCCACCCACAGCGACTAGCTAACCGAGGCGCGCACATGCGGCCGTGACTTGGGGTAAGAGGGAATAAGAGGGGACTTAACTTTGAATATATAAAACCGTATACAAGACCAGCCGCAATACACTTTCACAGCCCACATTACGTCTTGGCCATCACCGGAGGGAGACTCCACTCTAATCCAGCTGGTCGACCACACACTGGCAGATACAAATCTTATATACAATCTGGTGCACTAATTAGAGTTGAGGAGCAGCTTAGCAATCACACACCCTTCTAGGATCCCTCCAGCTATCCTACAAGCCAGAAGCCCGGTGTTAATCACTCTTCCTCTGTCCACATACCCCCACACCACAAACGGTAGCTTGCCACCACCCAACAGTTTATCCGCAGAACGGTCTGTTGGGACACCCCACACACACAGATCTCCATCTGGCAGATCTGTTACCCTTACAATCTGCACGCAATCTGCCAACACGCAGTGCAATTGCATACAGATTGGCAATGAGCTTGACCGAGCATATACAGTCAGGTCCATAAATATTGGGACATCAACACAATTCTAACATTTTTGGCTCTATACACCACCACAATGGATTTGAAATGAAACAAACAAGATGTGCTTTAACTGCAGACTGTCAGCTTTAATTTGAGGGTATTTACATCCAAATCAGGTGAACGGTGTAGGAATTACAACAGTTTGCATATGTGCCTCCCACTTGTTAAGGGACCAAAAGTAATGGGACAGAATAATAATCATAAATCAAACTTTCACTTTTTAATACTTGGTTGCAAATCCTTTGCAGTCAATTATAGCCTAAAGTCTGGAACGCATAGACATCACCAGACGCTGGGTTTCATCCCTGGTGATGCTCTGCCAGGCCTCTACTGCAACCGTCTTCAGTTTTCCTTGTTCTTGGGGCATTTTCCCTTCAGTTTTGTCTTCAGCAAGTGAAATGCATGCTCAATCGGATTCAGGTCAGGTGATTGACTTGGCCATTGCATAACATTCCACTTCTTTCCCTTAAAAAAACTCTTTGGTTGCTTTTGCAGTATGCTTTGGGTCATTGTCCATCTGCACTGTGAAGCGGCGTCCAATGAGTTCTGAAGCATTTGACTGATTATGAGCAGATAATATTGCCCGAAACACTTCAGAATTCATCATGCTGCTTTTGTCAGCAGTCACATCATCAATAAATACAAGAGAACCAGTTCCATTGGCAGCCATACATGCCCACGCCATGACACTACCACCACCATGCTTCACTGATGAGGTGGTATGCTTAGGATCATGAGCAGTTCCTTTCCTTCTCCATGCTCTTCTCTTCCCATCACTCTGGTACAAGTTGATCTTGGTCTCATCTGTCCATAGGATGTTGTTCCAGAACTGTGAAGGCTTTTTTAGATGTCGTTTGGCAAACTCTAATCTGGCCTTCCTGTTTTTGAGGCTCACCAATGGTTTACGTCTTGTGGTGAACCCTCTGTATTCACTCTGGTGAAGTCTTCTCTTGATTGTTGACTTTGACACACATACACCTACCTCCTGGAGAGTGTTCTTGATCTGGCCAACTATTGTGAAGGATGTTTTCTTCACCAGGGAAAGAATTCTTCGGTCATCCACCACAGTTGTTTTCCGTGGTCTTCCGGGTCTTTTGGTGTTGCTGAGCTCACCGCTGCGTTCCTTCTTTTTAAGAATGTTCCAAACAGTTGTTTTGGCCACGCCTAATGTTTTTGCTATCTCTCTGATAGGTTTGCTTTGTTTTTTCAGCCTAATGATGGCTTCCTTCACTGATAGTGACAGCTCTTTGGATCTCATCTTGAGAGTTGACAGCAACAGATTCCAAATGCAAATAGCACACTTGAAATGAACTCTGGACCTTTTATCTGCTCATTGTAACTGGGATAATGAGGGAATAACACACACCTGGCCATGGAACAGCTGAGAAGCCAATTGTCCCATTACTTTTGGTCTCTTAACAAGTGGGAGGCACATATGCAAACTGTTGTAATTCCTACACCGTTCACCTGATTTGGATGTAAATACCCTCAAATTTAAGCTGACAGTCTGCAGTTAAAGCACATCTTGTTCTTTTCATTTCAAATCCATTGTGGAGGTGTATAGAGCCAAAAATGTTAGAATTGTGTCGATGTCCCAATATTTATGGACCTGACTGTAAAGGCACTAACATACAATACAATTTAATCTCTCCGAAGATATGAGCCCGAGCTTCAATACCTAGAAGTCACTTATTAATTTTAAGATTTCATATCCCGAAAGTGTGTGCAGTGCATAAAATATGTACAAAGTATAAAAAAGTTACAGAAAATACAAAAAATACAAGAAGACACATAGACTATTCACTATAAAATAAAAGGGAATAAAAAACAGAACTAAAAAACTTTTACTAAGATTTACCCTGCGACTGGAGCAAGTCAGAAATAGTCCATAATCCGTTAGTCGATCGAACCAGCTCCATACGAATCACCTTTCCCAATATCAGGGTCCTCAATTTATGGGGATAGGGACGTAGGCGGGACATTAGTTCTTGGCCAATTGAATCTGGGGGGTGTTCCTGTACCCGCCCCACAGGCTGTTCTGGGTGCTGAACTGCCCAAAGTCAATTGGCCCAGGAACAGTTTGAATCACCAAGTCGGGGATTGAATTTCCAACACCAGTGCATCAGGCCGATAGCGACAGTAGCAATCACTGTTCGGCTGCCGCAATCCAGCGCCACATAACCATTTCCTGCATTTTTCTGGCATTCTACATAGGCCACAAATACAGTTTGTACATGTCGATGTAGCCCACAGAGTGTCCGATCAGAAGGAAGTATTTTCATCTCTCTGCAACTAATATTTTAGCTTTTATAAGGGATGAAACATACTCCTTTGATCTATATATATATATATATATATATATACACTTTAGAGCCCCCCAGACAGATCGGGGCCCCCCTGGTGTCATGAAGCTGAACCTTCTGCTTTCCTCTTTTTACACTTCCAGAAGGTGGCAAAGTCTGATTACATATAGGTGACAAAATCTTAATAGCACCCAGGTGTCACTTCCAGCCTGAGAAAGCTCTCTTTTTTCAGATGCTAATGGCTGACCATATGCCTTAATTCTGAACACATCTTTAATGACAAGGAATTAACTAAATGTACGATTACATATTGCTACAGGTCACATCTTATCTACTCAAATCTGTACATTTGTCACACAGAGGAACTTCAGTGCTTTGAAGGTTCTGTCACATGTGGTGACATAGCAGGCAATACTCAGGACATACAGAGCTTGGAGAGTGGATTAGGAACCAGGCAATGATGGCTTTTGGCAGAAGGACTAGTGTGAAAGAGAAGGCTGTTCTGTGTGTTGATGGTTGCAGCAAAAAAAAAAAAAAAAAAAACTAATTATCTATGGTTTGCCCAACTTCAAACACTAAAAAGCCTGCTAGCAGCTTCAGCTGTCACTTGAAAATGACAGCCCACACCCCTATTAAGATCTACACTACAGTATATTGCCTAAAGTACTGCCCTCCCCCCCCCCCAATCATTGGATTCAAGTGTTCCAATCACCTGCATGGCCACAGGTGTATAAAATCAAGCACCTAGGCATGCAAACTGCTTCTACAAACATTTGTGAAAGAATGGGTCGCTCTCAGGAGCTCAGTGAACTCAAGCGTGGTCCCGTGATAGGTTGCCACCTGTGCAATAAGTCCATCCGTGACATTTCCTGGCTACTAAATATTCCACGATCAACTGTTAGTGGTATTATAACAAAGTGAAAGCAACTGGGAACAACAGCAACTCAGCCATGAAGTGGTAGGCCACGTAAATTGACAGGGCGGGGTCAGTGCAGGCTGAAGCGCACAGAAGTCGCCAACTATCTGCAGAGTTAATAGCTAAAACTTCATGTGGTCTTCAGATTAGCACAACAACAGTGAGTAGAGAGCTTCATGGAATGGTTTCCATGGCCGAGCAGCTGCATCCAAGACTTACATCACCAAATGCAATCCAAAGCGTTGGTTGCAGCGGTGTAAAGCACGCCGTCACTGGACTCTAGAGCAGTGGAGACGTGTCCTCTGGAGTGAAGAATCACACTTCTCTGTCTGGCAATCTGATGGACGTGTCTTGCCTGGTTTGGCAAGTGTAAAGGCCAGGAGAAAGGTACTTGCTGGGCTTGACCCCTTACTGTATTGTGCCAATTTCATGTGTGGAAAGTTTGGATGAGCGAGATATTGAGGGGTGCAGGAACTTGACTGACCTGCACAGAATCCTGACCTCAACCTGATAGAACACCTTTGGGATGAGTTAGAGCAGAGACTGTGAGCCAGGCCTTCTCGTCTGACATCAGTGCCTGACCTCACAAATGTGCTTCTGGAAGAATGGTCAAACCTTACCATAGACACCCTCCTAAACCTTGTGGACAGCCTTCCCAGAAGAGTTGAAGCTGTTATAGCTGCAAAGGTCGGGCCAACTCAATATTGAACCCTATGGACTAAGACTGGGATGCCATTAAAGTTCATGTGAGTGTAAAGGCAGGCGGCCCAATACTTTTGTCAATACAGTGTACGTTTAACAACCCCCTAGGGAAACTAGAGTTTTCCTTGAAGGCTTTAAACTAAGGCTTTCGAAGTTCACATAAAGGGAAGTTCTGCTTCCCCCCCCCCCCCCCCCCCCCCCATCACTTTTGGATTTTTAAAATAACAAAGTCAGCGCTCAGTGATAACAACTAGCTGCTAGCAAAAAGTGTATACACAAAAACACCAAAATGCTACAATAATAATAGTTTGCAGCGCTTAAAAATACATATAAAATAAAAATATATATGAAAATAAACCACAACACCCGTTTGGTTTGGATTTTTATTTTCTGGGAAACCTAGGCAAGCAATGCGCCCCCTCCCCCTTCCCACCTGCAATCTCCTGGAACAAGTCTCATGTCCCAAAAGGCTGTGGGTCTATTCAAAAAGCGCAGCACATGCACAGAGTAGAGCCAGCTGTGAAGCCACAGAAAGCCATGGCTGGCTTCCCACATGCAAGACGGCAGTGCCAAGGACTCGAAGAACTGGCCCAGCTGATGACAACGCTGGATCCCTGTACTGGTAAGTGCATGTTTATTAAAAGTCAGCAGCTACAGCATTTGAAGCTGCTGACTTTTAATGTTTGTACAAAAATGACCAGAATTCCTCTTTAATAAAGCTGCTTGAAGAATGTTGGAAACATTTGAAATACTTTGCATAATCGTACTGTACACTCTGGTCTAATACAACCTAAAGCCTGTATAAACAAGGCCTTAAAGCAAAATCTATATTTGCCTATTCAAGACAAAGTACGAAAGAGTAGGAAAGGCATGACATACCTAACTTCTAGAGCAGTGGTCTCCAAATTGCGGCCCAGGGGCTGGATGTGGCCCATTGCATGCCTTTATCTGGCCCTCTGGCACTATTCCATCAACTGATACCAATGAGGGAGCACCATTCCCCCTACTGACACCATCAATGAAGCACTATTCTTCTCAGTGATATCAACAATGGGGCACTATTCCTCCCCTTAAAACCAATGACGGGGCACTGATGCTGGGACCTTTTCTACTCTCACTGGCCACAGTCCGGCCCCCGCGTAAAGCCTGTAGGACACTAAACTGGCCCTTTGCTTAGAAGGTTTGGAGACCCGTGCACTAGTCATATAGTTTATCTATGTTAATCTGATAAATATTTTGATCTGGGTTGAGGTATTGAGCAGAATCCATTTTTCATTTAAGTTTTTTCTAATACAATATTTTTTGTGTACTCCCTCCCATTTGTCATATAAATATAAAAGGTGGGACCTGGTAGCATCTGTGATTTTTATTTTTTCTGTTATATGTATAAATATACACACAAGGGTTAAACAAAAAAATGGAAACACTACATGATTTGCAGGTGTGAAAGTGATGACATGTTTTGCATTGAAAGCAGAAGTGATAACATTTTTTTGCTTCCACTGTGTGATGAGACACTAGCTAAGAGGGAAGCTTCACTTTCATCATTCATTGCGTGCGCTGCTAGTAATACGGAGTCATGTCAGAGCTTACAGAGCTTCAAAGAGGTCAAATTGTTGGTGCCGCTTAGCTGGTGCTAGTGACTGAAATTGCCAATTTATTTGCCATGTCGCGAGGTACAGTATCAAAGGTTATGATGGCAAATACAGTTTCCGGGAAAACATCGTCTGACAAGAAACCGCTAGTGAACACAATATACTTCAGCGCAATTATAAAAAGGTTAAAATCTCTTTCCAAGTGTTAGACTGCCACTGAAACTAGGGATGCACCGAAACTCTGGTGGCTGAAACGTTTCAGCCAAACACACCCTTTCGGCTGTTGGCCAAAATGAAAAAAAAACCGATATAGGTGCCGAAAAAAAACCCCGCCCTCGGTAGTTCTCAACCTTACCTGAGAAACCATTGATCCCGGCGCTGGGCATAGAGATGAGTGAAGGAAGGATGGCCGCCACTATTCCCTTGGAGGATCGGAGCGATGTCATTTCCCTTTCCGGCCATTTTTTTTAAAGCTCTAGATGAATGCTTTTTTTTTTTTCCAATGCTTTACATTGCAGAGGAGAGATGTGGGGTCTTATTGACCCCATATCTCTCCATAAAGAGGACCTGTCACTAATTATTTCTATCACAAGGGATGCATGCATTTCTTGTGATAAGGATTTAAGTGATTACATTTTTTATTTTTTAAAGAGAGAGTGCAAAAAAATTATTTTTTTTTTTAAAAGTTTAAAGTGCCACCCCCCCCCCCCCGTGCTCACACGTAGCGGTGAACGCATACGTAGCCATGCCCCCATATGTAAACTGTGTTCAAACCACACACGTGAAGTATTGCCATGAACGTCAAAGCAAGAGCAATAATTCTCGCACTAGACCTCCTCTGTAACTTTACACTGATAACCTGGAGAACTTTTTAAAGCATCACCCATGGAGATTTTTAAGTACCGCAGTTGCACGCCAATCCCACGAGCGTGCACAATTTTAAAGTGTGACATGTTGGGTATCTATTTACTCACCATAACATCCTTTCATATTTTACAAAAAAAAATTGAGGTATATATAGTTTTTGTTTTTTTTTAAATCAGTGTATTTTTTTTCCAAAAAATATATATTCATTTTTAAAAACTGCGCACTTCAGTTTCGGCTTTCGGCCAAGTGTATTTTGAATTTTCGTTTTTGGTTTCGGCACCAGAATTTTCATTTCGGTGCACCACTAACTGAAACTATATGTGTTCTCACATACAATATAAAAAAAAACGGTTTGCAGATTTGTATCGTCTGATAAGAATAAACGTGGCCAACTGATCGAAAGACAAAAAGGACACTGCGCAGGATTGTGACCAGGAATAAGCATAGCATGTATATGAAACAAGCAAATGATGCTGCACAATTCACATAAAATTGTGAAAATTACAGATCGCTAAACCAACACAAGATGCTGGTCTCACCTGTCCATATGTTCCCAGTAAAATCTCTGTTTCACCGTCAAAGTCCACATCAGCTATCACAGCACAAAGGACGCTGTCAAACTGGTCACTTTCTGGTAGAAGGACCTGTTCTCGGAGTCCATTTTGTAGGATATTCCTGAGAAATATTAAAGGAAATATCGGTAAAATACAATGCATGAAATCACTGCGTCTGTTGTTCTATCAAACTCCACAGATCTTCATGTATGCCAACTGCCTCAATAGCTGACGGTTACATAGTTGGGTATCAATAAAGCGAAGCAATGTGCAAAGAGGAGCAACCAATTGTAATAATCATCAGTCATCCTTCATTGTCCTGATTGGTCCTCTCTGATAAATGCATATTTGCATATTTAAATTCACATCCCTTCTAGCCGCAGGAATGTAATACTGAATTGGGATTGCTGCAGCTCCGAGGCTGTTGATGCCTATTTGTTTTTAACTAAATGTGAGTGCAATATTTTCTTTTTAAATAAATCCTTTGTATAAGGAAATACTGTACTATGAGTTTTTTATATTTTGTATGCCTATACTGCCTGAAAGCGAGGCTGGAATGGAACCAAGGATCAGAGCACTGTCATATCATCTACCGTGAATTTGTTTGGCGTTAACCTTTTCATTAATTTAAAAGCCTAATTGCTCCGATAAGAGCTCTCACTATTGCTGTCATTGGGATTTCTGAGGTGTTTCTTTCTCTTCAGCTCTACTGGATGAGTGTCTTCTTCTGATTTCTGGAAGCATTTTTATTTATACTTTTGTGGACATTTAATATATCTGAGCATGATTATTTTATATATGTTGGACTTTCATCTTTAATATATCACTTTTGTTTTTTTGTATCAAATCACTGCTTTTTGCTTAGCGCTGCATTCTTTGAATTGTCTGTCATGTGGTATAAACTATACACCAGTAGGTGTACCTTAGAGAGAGTAGGTGTACCTTGGAGATGTTTGTCACTGGACCATGTCTAATTGTAATTGGGCATTTTGGTTTGAATGTTTAAATGGTATGTTCTTTCTTGAAAAGAAAAAAAAAACTTTGAAAACCTTAAAAAATTATCTGATTTAAAAGATAAAGTACAAAGGAAATAACTGACCTATAAACAGCAGACTGGTCTATCGTACTGGTCACCAAGACGCTGTACTCCTCTTTAAAGGTATGTTCATTGCAAGCATCTACGAATAAAGTGCACAGTTACAGTGTGACAATAGGAAAATCCCCATTGGCTGAGAAATCTTGTAAGTAGCCTCACCATCCCAAGGACATCCCGCTTCTGCTACATGTTGTGCACAGGGCATCCTGAAGATCAGCACCTTGGAGAGAGGACCATCCTGTTGCAGTGACCAGCTTTGCAGAATCTCTGCCAACAGAGGGACAGATGTCTTATTACAATAAAGCAGTGTTTCTCACCCTTTTTCCAATCAAGGCACCCTTAAAAACTATGGACAGTCCCGAGGC